TGCAGGCTTTCAAGTACCTCAAACATGGTTCCACATATTAAAAAGCAACTTGATAGACTTCCACATAATGTTATCAATTTTGCATGCTTTTCTAAGTTCATTACAAGTTTTACACACCACTTTGTAGACATGCTACATAACGTTACCAACTTTGCATGCTTTTCTAAGTCCATTACCAGTTTTACACAACACTTTGTAGACATGCTACATAACGTTATCAACTTTGCATGCTTTTCTAAGTCCATTACCAGTTTTACACACTACTTTGTAGACATGCTACATAACGTTATCAACTTGGCATGCTTTTGCTAGGTCCATTACAAATTTTACACACCACTTTGTAGACATGCTACATAACGTTATCAACTTTGCATGCTTTTCTAAGTCCATTACCAGTTTTACACACCACTTTGTAGACATGCTACATAACTTTACCAACTTTGCATGCTTTTCTAAGTCCATTACCAGTTTTACACACCACTTTGTAGACATGCTACATAACGTTATCAACTTTGCATGCTTTTGCTAGGTCCATTACCAGTTTTACACACCACTTTGTAGACATGCTACATAACTTTACCAACTTTGCATGCTTTTCTAAGTCCATTACCAGTTTTACACACCACTTTGTAGACATGCTACATAATGTTATCAACTTTGCATGCTTTTGCTAGGTCCATTACAAGTTTTACACACCACTTTGTAGACATGCTACATAACTTTACCAACTTTGCATGCTTTTCTATGTCCATTACCAGTTTTACACGCCACTTTGTAGACATGCTACATAACGTTATCAACTTTGCATGCTTTTGCTAGGTCCATTACCAGTTTTACATGCCACTTTATAGTAGACATACTACATATCGTTACCAACTTCGCATGCTTTTGCTAGGTCCATTACAAGTTTTACACACCACTTTGTAGACATGCTACATAACGTTACCAACTTAGCATGCTTTTCTAAGTCAATTACAAGTTTTACACACCACTTTGTAGACATGCTACATAACCTTATCAACTTTGCATGCTTTTGCTAGGTCCATTACCAGTTTTACACACCACTTTGTAGACATGCTACATAACTTTACCAACTTTGCATGCTTTTGCTAGGTCCATTATCAGTTTTACACACCACTTTGTAGACATGCTACATAACGTTACCAACTTTGCATGCTTTTGCTAGGTCCATTATCAGTTTTACACACCACTTTGTAGACATGCTACATAACGTTACCAACTTTATAGATTTGCCACGCATCTTTCTCAACTTCATACAAAATGTTGCCGTCATACCATGTAACTAGCAATATTAGACATTTTATGCAAATGTCAATGCAACTATATTATCTTTTCATGCTTGCCAACCAACTGCGCAAATGTGCAGACCTGCCACATACCTTTAACAGCTTTGCAGATTGGCAAGCAACTTTCCCTGTAATTTTGCAGACACTTTAGGGTGTTTTCAAGCAGCTTTGTAGACTAGCCATGTAATGTTAACAACTCTTCATGTACTTTTACTAACTTGGCAGGCTTTTCATTTAACTATCTTCTTTACGTTACTTTAAAAAATTAGCATGTAATTTTGCAGATTTTTTTCTTAAATTTTCAAGCTTTCAGCGCTGACTTGCTACTTAAGGTAGAGATGCAGTTTATCTGACAGGTATTTTAATTAGTTAATTAGAAAACCAAGTTGACCCTTGTCCACAAAACTATATATTTTCAGAAAGCTTATTGTATGAATTTTAAAGTTTTGTTAGTAATTTATTTTTATGGACACTGTAGTTTGAAATATGCACAAAAATGTGCTTTTTTGGTCAAAAGTGATTTAAAAAAAATTTGCTTCTAAACCATGCTTCTGTTTCCTTACAAAATTGGTTTATGGGTACATCTGTTTACTATGAAGAAAGTATCGTCTTGAAAACTGTCTACCAGTTGTCAATTTTGTCAAATTTCACTACTTCAAGTTTATGCATAAATTAACACCCAGGCTAGTTGTCTGTACGATTGCTGTGACACTATTCAACTAAAAACAATGCCCCAACGGCGTTTTGAAGATAAACACATTGCTAATCATTTGTGAAAATTTCAAAACAAAAGGTCAAATCGTCTAGGAGCTATTTTTTTCCCAAAGTTCTGGAATGTGCACTAAAAAGAAGCTGAGATATTTGCTAATTTGCATAACAATTCACACAGTAAGAAGTTTGCTAATGCTCATAATTAAAATGGCTGTTACAGTTTCAAATTTAAATGTATTATCGTTTTGTAAAAAGTTAAATACAGTGCATAATATGGAGATCCCGTCATTTCTTTTTTTCACCATGTTTTTTTTAATTATTTATGTACAGCCTTGCTAAATCTTGCTAAGCATTCAAAAGAGATAATGTTTGCACCTGTTATTTATATTTTAAAATCGTTTTTGAGTAATGTTCCACTATTCACAATTCTATAAAATTTCAACAGTCTATAGCCAAGACTTTTTGGATAATAAAAAGCAAAAAAAAAAAATTTCACTCCCAAGTGCACACGAACCCGCATCTCTACCTTAAGGATAAGTATCATTAATTTGACAAATGGTTATTGAGAAAACAGTGGAACAGACAGACAGACAGACAGACAGACACGGAATAATCTCAATGACTTCCATTGTGTGCTAGAAGGAAATGACAAGATAATCCAGACTTGTATGAATAACATTTGTCTATATTGAAAAAAAAAAAACTTACTTTCTAGAATTACAGAATTAGACATTTTTATGCTTCAATACGTAGCAAATTCTTTGCTGCTTGGTACAAGTTTGAAAAGAAGCTTGGTACAAATTTGAAAACTTCTCTGTAACGAGTATAAAACTGTAAAAAAAAAATAATACGCCACCAGTGTTGCAGTATTACACACTTGTACATGACTACCGGTAATACCAGGGACATCCCATAATACAATGATTCTAGAATATCAGAAAACCAGACCTACAGCAGATACAAAATAATATTATGAGTTAAGTAGTGTAGAAAACTGATATGGATACTAGTAATGTCAATATATGACTCCCAGACATACTGTACCTTTCATTTACAAACCAATGCAACTGTGTGTAAGGAAGGGAAAAAAAAAGGCTGGCAATGGCAGAACACTTGTAAGAATTTCCTGACTTGACAAGAACTGTACATTTATAAAATTTACAAAGAAGTGCAAAAACTAACAAAGCAAAGGGCATGGAATGTTTGCAATAATCATATATAGCAATCTGTTTGTATAGGATGCAATCCTGTCATGAATGACAATTGGCAGAGATATTAGACAGAAAATCTTACAATGACTGAGAAGATCTTACTCAATACAATTGGCAGAGATTGTAATGACAGAAGAGCTCCCTGGGTACAATTGTAATGACTGGCTTTGTTACACACTAACCATACAATTCATATTTCACTCATGGTGGCAAAGTGTGCAGCTTGTGGGTGAAAATAAAGCAATCTACAATATGCTGATGTCAATGATATTCTACATAAATCATCAATAATAAACATGCAAGATCTTTAAATTTGTAAACACTGTAATTCTACAATTCTATTTGACAGATGAATCAGTATGAGTTGAAGAGAGGCAGGTAAAACTTGCAGTCAAACTAGTTGTGAGAAGAACATTAAACCTTCATTACTAGTGATTACAGCAGACATCAATCTTCTTTGCAACATTGCGAGTTTCACTGTTTACTTTCAAAGCTTATCTGTCCTTAACTACATTAGCGACTTAATTTATTATTTTTAGTTTTGGCAGTTTTAATAATAAATGAAATGACATCTATGTGAGCGTATGAATAGAATAAAACTCATTGCTGCGAATAGTCATGAATTTAAACCCAGCGAATGCACTCAAAACATCAAAATAGTGAAATTAAATACCAGTGAACATTATTGTTTTCAATACTGTTGCCTTTTTTTTTAAATGACCTCCATGAACAAATATTCAGTCTGTGTCTGTAATTATTCAGTTCCCCCATGCCAGCCAGCACATTTGGGATATATGTACTAACTGTCAAAGATAAAACTTCACACATATCATTGTTTCATCTAAGCATCTATTGTATAACACAGCCAGCAACAATAGATGCAATATTGCAAGGAAAATTGATTCTGATACAGAATATAATTTGTGTTTATATGCAAATATACAGATTTACAAAACATGATTTTTTTTCAATTAGTTGGCAGGAAATGCAAGTATGTTTTGTAGAAAAATCACCTTTCTTCATGAGAACTACTGCGTTGATTTCTATCTGGACTGCAACTATTTCTGGACAACTTTTCACGTTTATATTTAGGACTTTTCTTGTGCTTTGATTTAGATCTGTTTTGACTGCGATGTTTTTCAGACTTGGATCTGTCGTGACTGCGACTACGACTGCGTTTCCGGTCATAATTTTTAGATTGTGAGTGATGCTTTCTGTCATTAGACTTGTCCCTGTGTTTACGCCTATCAGATCTGTCCCTGCTATTACTACGTTTCCTCTCATTATGTCTATCCCGATCAGATCTGTCCCTGCTATTACTACGTCTCCTCTCATGTCTGACCCGATCAGATCTGTCCCTGCTATTACCACGTTTCCTTTCATAATGTCTATCCCAATCAGATCTGTCTTTGCTATTACTTTTAGGTCTTCTATCCCTGTGTTGTCGACTACTGTGACTTTTTCTATCCCTGCTCCGACTTCTCCTTCGCTCTCTGCTCTGACTTCTCCTTTGCTCTCTGCTCTGACTTCTCCTTTGCTCTCTGCTCCGACTTCTCCTTTGCTCTCTGCTCCGACTTCTTCTTTGCTCTCTGCTCCGACTTCTCCTTTGCTCTCTGCTCCGACTTTGTTGCCTCTCTCGACTTCTGCTCCTATACCTCTCACGGTATGGACTGTGACCAGGTCTTTTTTCTTGATCTCGCTTTTGTCTTTCTCTCTCTCGTTCCAAGGCAGTTGCAAAGTCAGATTCCTCCCTTCTGCTGGACCTATGATGACTCGATGATCGTCTGCTTTCTCTACGGTTTGAATGAGGAGATCTGCTATGCCTTTTTTCATTCCTTGGCTTCACAGGTGACCTAAATCATAAAAAACAAGCCATGCATAGCACAGTCCCAATTAGTTATCAATTTTAAGTTATATAGTTTTGATAATAGTAATACTTTAAACATAAACATGTCGGCGATATGAATCCAGATGCTCTTGATTTTTTAACATTAAAATGTTTAACATTAAGTCATCTTGTACATTAAGTCATTTGTATCTAATTGTCAAACGAGCACTTTTCTATATCAATGTGATATTGCTTTACCATTTTAAATACATCTGTATATCTACAACATGATGTATAATGAATATATAAAATCTGAAGATAATCAAGAATGCTAGAGACACTGCCAAACAACCACACTCATTAAAACAAAAAGGCCACCAGTCAGCTATTTTGAATCTGATCTGAAAAGCAAAATGACATCAAAATGAGCCATAATGCCTAATGTATGCCTAAGTTTGAACAAAATCCATCTGTAAATAGCTGAGATCCGGTTCCGGAATGCCAGAAATGCTAGATTTTGAGTCAGCCATCTTGAATCAGATCGGGTAACAAATTGATGTGTATATGTATAATATTATGTATAATGCATGTGTGAAGTTTGAATGTAATCAGTCCAGGTATTTTTAAGATATAGGTTCTGGCCCACCCAACACAAAAACGTACCCACCCAAACGTATTTATTTAATACTTATTTCATCTCAGCAAAGATATTAGACAGATGAATGGTAAGAACTAGTAAGGTATGGAATGGAAGTTGTATTTCCATGTGATGTTGTGTATTCATACAAAAAGCAAGTGAGAAAGCATCATGGCTAGAACACATGATAAGTAAAAATAACTTTACTCTGGAGTCACATGTGGATTTTATAGGTTTTAGCCAAGTGTTGATAAGATAAATGCAAGTACATATATATCCAAAAATCATTCATTTATTGGTAAAACAATGTGAGCAAGCATCACATACATGCTGCGTTATAGAAGATTGAAATTCACAAATATTTCATTCAATGTTGTATATTGAACTGCTAGAATGTGCAATTGTTATCCATACACATTGAATATAACAGAAATAAATGGCACATACATCATGCATACCTGCTCCTTTTTTTTGTTTCCCTGTCCCGTTCTCTTTCCTTGGCTGCCATACGCTCAGCTTCACCCCATTGGACATCTTTATCTGGTATATGTTCATCTCGTTTCTCAGCTTTTGCTGCACTACTACTGGTTGATGCTTGTTTTCTTGGTGGTATTCGTCTCTCTATATCCTGTGAACAAATGCAACTATGATATTTAGGAAGAAAGCAGCCAAACTATTTCACAGTAAAATTTGACAATTTGAGAAACATTCCTTCTAATGTCATGTGCTATGTATTCAAATACACCTGATTCAAGATGAGATTTATGATCAAATCATATTATTACATGTACTGTACTGTATATTGAGATTATTTTGTAAAGATGAATTTCACAAAGATGTAGGTAATTTGAGTTTGTTCTGCTTAGTAGTGTGAGACAAGTTTAACAATATATATGTGATGATGATAAATGGAGGTATATACGGATCTAGATTGCCTCATCTATAAATGCCTTTGTGCATATGGTACTTGCCTTCACAATAGGTACTGGAATACGAGGGAATAATGTTGAAAACCATTCCAATTTTGTGAGAAAACATCTTAACATTTCACCAATAGTCATAACACATCCACCACCAGCTTTCACATCAAGCTCCTGTCAAGTACAAGGTGAAACAGTGATTCAGTTGAAATGAAGTTACCAATCAAAACATTACCTGTATCTTTCATTGTTCAGACAATCACAGTTAGTGAAAAACTCACAAAATAAGAAAAGAACATAGAAACTACAGTATTTGCTCAAACAAAAGCACATTTCTATAGAAGTGCACATAAACCAAGATTTATTTATCATACATTTGATCATTGAAATTATGATTTACTTTGATTATGGACCCACCCATGAGATTTACATTTTAGCACATTTGCAAATATGGCATTGTCTGAACATGCAAACTAACAAGTGTACTAATTTCTTTTATGATATGCCAAGGTATACAGTGCATTCAAGTGTAGAAATAGTTTTATTCTAGAACCCCAATACATGACAAGAATCTAGGCATAGTTAGTTTGGGACATTTTGATCAATACACAACAGTGAATTAAAAAAGCCAAGATATGCTAATTATTGTCACATAATGATGTTGAATGAAAACTGAAGATGAAGACTCCTTTTTGTCAAAAAGGTATTACAAGCATGGATCACAGTAATAGTATAGAATTATGAATTGTATGAATAAATAATAAAGTGTCATTAGTTTTTAAAACCTACCCACTGGAATACGTACCTCTTCATCATTTAAATATTCATCATACCAATCAAACAAGTCACCAGGTGGTTGCGTATATCTAAATATGAACAAAAACCAAACATTATAGCTGCAAATAAACTTACAACCTAAATACAATAGTTTTTTTTCCAACACCAACAACTGATGTGATTTAAGACTTGTTCAAGGCTTTCCAAAAACATGTCTTCGGAAATCTAAGACCCCTTTTGCACCAAAAATTGCACGATTGAAAAAAACCAAACTCAATGTAAAACTCTGTGCTGAACTACGGTAAGTAGATAGCGAGTCACTATATCTGAGGCTTTTCAGTGAGCCTATCCGTATCAATTTCTGCCAGGTACTGGTGTGTTAAATGACAGGTTAAGCATACTATACTTGTACAGTAATACTTGCATATACTAGCAGTTTGCCTGACTGTCTAAATACACACCTTATATACATATATCCTAAGGCTCTTATATAAGGTGAATCAATGTGTGTGATGAGGCCATTCACCTGTTTACGCGTTAACTTCAATGTAAACAGCTTATATAATAAACAAAATGCAGATGACACTATCCCACCAGTACCAACACCTCTAACCTGAAAAAAATAATTAACAAAAAAACAACAACATTAGGATATAATACTACTCCATATAGTAAACATAGTAGACTATAATAAACCTTGAAGACCAGTACAATTATTTGGAAACTCAAATCTTTATGATAAGATGTTTGCAAATATTCCATATTAGTTGGTTATCACAGAAGTTAAAATTAAAATTGCCTGTACATTAGACAGGTTGAAGAATAAAAGTGGAGACATATCTGTCCAGGGTTCTGCCCAGCCTGATTTGAGTGCCGATCGCTAATTAATATTCATGAGTTCATTAATATTCATTTTTCCATTCTACTAGCTACGATTTAACTACTTTAATTATTTTAACTTTTTTAAATATTTCAATGTAAAATTAATCTGCTTTGAAAAAAGTGAAAAAAATATATACACTTTATTTTTGCAATCACGTTAAAATACGCATTTTGAGACATTGACATCTGATCTGGCAGCCATTTTTTTTGTCAAAGCATGTCGTCCATTTGTTACGGCCAAAGTGGAAACAAGAATTTAATTGTTTTCTTTTCCAATGGAATGCTGGTAAATCACATTAATAGTGAAAAATAAGTATTCCTTGTATCGCTGACTGAATATAGCTTATGAATTTAATTTTATGAACGAGTCATGAAGCCAAAAACATCAATGAAGTTTACTACACTTGAGTGCAAGTGCAGCTTGACGCATCGCTTCCGGTGAAGTGAGCAAGTTATTGTTCCACTCAACAAATCCTACAAACAACTAAACTTGCAATAGTAATCCTTCCTTCTGTTTATTTATTGTTGTTTCCCCTTCCATTATCTTGATGTACAACTTATTCCGTTCTGGTTCGTTTGTTAAAACTAACAGAATGTCAATCGGAGGTTGACATTAGGCCGATGTTACACGTGTACGTTGATTTTGAACAGCTGTGTTTTCTTTCATAAAAGTTTTATTGTGTGTTAATTGTTTGCATTGTGTTGTTGTGTGTTAAAACCAACAAGGACAATAGAATGATGGTCCAGTGGCCGACATCCTGTGTGTATCATAAACAAATAGAACAGTGCCGGTCGCCAACTTTTTGTCCTGGTCGAAAATTCGGAGTGCCGTGGGCAGATCCCTGTCTGTCCCTACTAAGATAAAAATGAACCATTTGTGCAACATTATTGAAATTAAGAATTACATGAATTTGACACCCTCCCTAATCATTTGTTTTACTGCTCCCTTAATAGCTACGTGCATGTGCTGGTAATTTGCATACAGCAAAAAAACATGGCCACCGTTCCATCAGTCTTATTTATTTTCCTGCTGAAAATGGAGGTTAATTGTGCTAGCTAAACATTAAAACTGTACCCCAACTAAATATTGCTACACTACAGCAACTTTTTATCAACATTGTCAGTAAATGTATAGCAATTGCTTCCAATGTTGTTTTGCTACAATCAAGTTTGTTTTGATACATTTGCAACGCACCCAGACTTCTAGTCACCGTCATTGGACCAACAATGCATTTCAACTCGGACCTGATCGGACTGACAGTCATGGCGGAATACTTATTCAAAGTAGAGTTTGTTTATTATCGGGATACAAGAATTATACCAATATATATATACATGTATCACAAGCTGAGTTTCAAAGTGATTACAACAGTTTTATCGACCACCTCATTAACATTTTTACGACAAATGAACGCACTTCGCATTCAAATTATGGACAAAGAAAATCAGAAATTGGATTTACCGACAAACCATCGATTCAAACAGTTGGTCATTGACAATCTTCGTTCAACTACACCAGGAGGCATAATAAAGGCAAAACTATTCATTCTGGATGGGTCATCACCTATGATGAAACAGAATGAAAACCAACCGCGTCAACCGACTGCTGGTTCATCTACTGAAGCCGGTAACAAATCAAAGCGAATGAAACTAGACTTTCACTTGGACACACACGTGGTTGCTAGATCCGCTATGGACTCGGACAAAAAACACCAAACACGAGTAGACCAGACATCGTCAATGGATTATCGCCGTGGTATGCTACATTAACAAACAGACGAACTTACTGCACGGAACGGCGGCAATTGACCGATCTAAAAACGCCCCGACTGCCATTGGCTGTATTGTATTACACGCAGTAGATTTCGTCACACCAACCCTTTTCGCTATGTCAGCAAAAGATATTCCTTCTAAATACAGCTCAACTATTTTTTGCGAATCACAGGTGGAGTCGGAAATCCCTGTTTACTCTGCAACATGATGACTGTGAATGTCAGTCACAGTCAACGACACTCTCCCTTGCAGAGTCTTCTTGACCTATGGAGCCAGAGAGCCACAACTAGACTCACAGGTGCCACAGGTACAATTTTACACCAAAATTGTTGGTATTCCGGGTTTTTTAAAATTCATTTGTTTCTTATATCCTAAGCTTCTGTTGAAAAAAATGTGTGTTATTTAAAATAATATATCGAATATTTTTACATTTAGTGCTAAAATCTTTTCAAAATGTTAAAATAACGAAAAAGGTAAAAAGGTGTTTAGATAATTTTCTCAAACATAAAATGCTAGTGGGCGTGATTTCAAAATAAATTTTATACCAGTTTCGCTGTAGTGTAGCAATATTTAGTTAAACATAATCGTTCAAAGAATGACTGAAACGATAGTAAAGCTAATTTAAAAGTGAAGATAGACTCATTGACGGTGAATTATTTCTCAGTTTCATCACTGCTTTCAAGCAGTCTCGGTTGGCCGAATTTGACTTGTGTTTTTTCGATAATTCTATTTAGTATGTCATGCTTATTTGCTTTCTACTTTTGAACGCCACAGAAACCAAGCTTCACACTTCCTTTCAGTCTGCTAGCAAGTGCTAATTCTGTTTTTTGTGCAACATGTTAATGAATGAACACTAGAAATAGATTCACAATAAAACTTGGTGGGATTTCTTCAGTGTTGCGGTCAACTCGTCAGTGTTGCGGGCAATCTCGCTATGCTAAAACGATTCGGGGGGGGGGACAATGCATTTGTGAAATGTAACATGACCTGATTACATTACTGTACCATGTTCATTTGCTTTTAGAATATACTTTTCGTAACCAAAAAATGATAACATTTCGTGATGCCTATATTTTAGAACCAAATTAATGCCTTTCACTCGCTAAATTAGAGTTATGCCCACTCAAGAGATTATACGGTAATCATTATGCAAATTATGTATTAATATGCATGACATTTATCCAAAACTTATCAGGTCTGCCTATTGTCTCACAGCATCTACCAAGCATTTACCAAGTTTCATCAAAATCCATTAAGTGGTTCTTTAGACATGAGTGAAACATTCATGGAACAGCAAAAAAAAAACGTGAATTATCATACAAATTTGGTAATTAATTTGATTTGTTTTCAATCAAACACTAATCTGCGCATTACCCCAGAGCATCTATGTACTAAGTTTCATCGAAATCCAATAAGTGGTTCTTTAGATACGAGTGAAACAGATAGATGCACATACATACACATTGTGTGCTTTGCAAGACTGTTGAATTAGCTGAAATACAAGCTGATGCCTTATTCAATACTTACAAGCTGATTGGTTTTATCAATATATTTTTGTATTTATTCTTCCTCAAATCAGTTTTTTTTTTTTCATTATAAATTTTGTGATGTTAATTTCAGTACAGCACAGACAAGTCAGTGGTAGTACCAGGTTTGTAATCATTCATTCGGTTGAAATAGATGAGAAACTAGCAGCCTGTTGGCTGAGATAGCTTCGCTGTTATCAATGCACATTTTAATTAAAGACCTGAAGATATCATTAGAAAATGAACAATATGTATAGTATTAAAGCAATCAGACTTGCTATTTTCAACACAAATTTGAAAATATAACTTTTTATCAAAAATATTCATTAATCCTTTTCCGGTCAAGTCGGTGAAAAACCGCCGTCAATATGGGTATGCTAGAATTTACCACTCCAGCTAGCTAACTGGTTAAGTCGTTGAAAAACGGCCTGCTATTTAGGTTGTTCAGACGGTCAAGCGTTTATAATACGTTGTACGGAACCTGATATTTTACACTTGCGAAATTATGGAGGGAGAGAATTTGTTTTCGATTCCGTCAAGGCAAATAAATTAACCAAGTAATAAAGAATGTAATTCTG